TGCTCAAAGTAATTGGAGAGAGGAACACGGCGATGTTTTGCCGAGGTATCGGAGAGTCGCCACTCTCCACTAGTCCTCGTTGGAGCACCCGCGCAAGGGTGTAGCTCCTCCTTGATCCGCGCAAGGATCAAGTGCTCTCTATGGGTTGATTCTTCGACACTCCGTCGCGGCGAATCACCCAAAACCGCTCACAACTTGAGTTGGGTCACCCACAAGCTCCGCCGGGTGATCACCAAGCTTCCAATCACCACCAAGCCGTCTAGGTGATGGCGATCACCAAGAGTAACAAGCACGAACTCTCACTTGACCACGCGAAGCCTAATGAGAAGATGGATGCACACTTGTCTACTCTTGATTCACTAATGAGGTTTCACTCTTGGATTCTCAAATCACAAACACCTCACTAGGACCTTGCTCTTCTTGGCACTCACAAACGTGTTTCTCAGCTGTTGGAATGAGCAAAAGTAACTCTACACACGGTGGAGCTTCTATTTATAAGGCGACTGAAAAACGAACCGTTATGAGCTTCGCGGGATGACCGGACGCCTCGATCGTATTGACCGGACGCTCCGGTCCGGTTCAATCCAGCATAATAGTTTCCAAGTGATGACCAGACGCCGTCGTCGTCCGGCCAGTCGAAGCCGACCGACGTCGATCCGCTTCTTGGATGCTTATCAGAATCGACCGGACGCCGGATACTCGGTCCGGTCACCTTGACCGGACGGGACGCGTCCGGTCACACTTTCTCAAGTCAGACCCTTACTAGAGTTGACCGACGCGGCTGGCCCTCGTCGTCCGGTCACATTGACCTTCCAGTCGTCCGGTCACACCAGACTTGTTCTCCTCGATCAAATGAATCGACCGGACCTCATGCCACCAGTCCGTCCGGCCAAGATTTTGACCCTCCATTCACTTCCAACTCTCGATCATATGAGAATGAAGTTTGCTCCAAAGGATCTTAGGCATTCATAGGAGCTACCTAGAGCTAGTTTTAACAAGTGTGCACCACACCTAACTCACTAGACTCAACTAGGTCAAGCTACCCGTTCATACCCCCTTAATAGTACGGCCAAAGGAAAAAACAAAGTTCTAAACTATTCTAAATATCTCTCCAACTCCAATCGACACTTAGAACTAGTCATCCTTAACCTTGTCGTTAATCCTTTGAAAACCGAAACGATTTCCATCGTAGGGGCATGACAACCTCGATTGCCCAATCGATCTCCATTACCATGACCTAACTTTATATGCCTCTGCAAAACACACGTTAGTCATAGTAATCTTGTATTGACATTAATCACCGAAATCCAACTAGGGACCTAGATGCTTTCAAGGACCTATATAACACGTATGAACAACTCCAGGGACCTGAGGTGGATTTTACTCAAATAGTTGGCTCACCAATAACTCACTTTCACATATTTTTTGGTTCCTATGTCTAAGCTAGCTATAAACTTACAACCCGCTTCTCATTTTTCTCCTCCCATCTCTTCTCCACCCAAGTATTTATTCCACCTACAACTATTTTACTATACTTGCTCTTAAATGTATCGAACATAGGCATAAAGGTTTATATAGGTAAGCCCGATAGTCATACTTCCTTTATTCTATCAGTTATGTTAGCAGAAGTGATAACTAATGATGTATGTTGAGACGTCAGTTAGGTCTCTCGTGTCTACTCCTTCCATCCTGTAATATAGTGCTTTCTAACATTTAAAATTTGTCCTCAAATATAATATATTTTAGAGGACAAAAACTAACTTTACATTAAATACTTTTCATTTATCAACTAATCACCACTAATCACGATAATGGTAGCGTCTGGTTTAGAAATAAAATGAGGGTACATACATCTTTTATATTCTCTCTTAATTTATCTTAAAATTCCTAAAATACACTATATTGCAGGACAGAGGGAGTAGATTCTAGAAGTTTGTTAGAAGGGTTTCATGCATCCTAGAAGCTAGATGCGCGCTTGGCTTTCTATATTTAGTTACCATACGGTTATGTCTTAGGGCCTGTTCGGCAGGACTGAAAAATACTATTCCGACTGATTATTGTGAGAGAAAAATACTGTTATAGCAGGACGTGAACAGTGATTTCGTGAGGTGGCTGGCCAGCCAGCCAGCCAGCCGAACACTGCCTTAGAGAGTCATGTCATACTCAAAGTCATTACTGAAAATTCGCGGGATATTTGTGAGTTGCTCTAGGACATAATGAGCTATCTTGGTTATTTACAATTTTCTTATTAATCCATGGTGGTTATTGGATAGACCTGCCTTAGTAGGTAATGACACGTATACAATAAATATTTATCTTTCACATATATCATATTTACTAAGATACTACTTCATCCATTTTGAAATATTTTAGAGTTTTGCAGTTTGAGATAAGCTAATTAGTTTTATAACAAGCTAGTAATTAACTTGTTTAAAAGTTATATATTTTGATATTACCAATTAGTGTGTAAGTATAGTTATTGATAACTATTTTCTTACCGATTACTACTATCTCTGTCCATAACTAAATCAGTTTATAGAGTTGTCTTAAATCAAAATTTTCAAAGTTTATTTGAATTTGTAAGAAAATCATAAATATTTATTACACCAAATTAGCACCATTAGATACACCACAAGATATATTTTTCATAATGTGTTTATTTGGTCATAAATATTTATGCTATTTTCTAGCAATTCAGTCAAACATTAAATAGTATGACTGAAGATAACCCAGAAACTAATTTAGGGGTTGTTTGGTTTGGGCTGCTAAAGTTTAGCTGGCTAATTTTAGTCTTATTTAGTCATTTTTTATCTAAACACTGTGACTAAATGGGACTAAATGGACATTTAGCCAATTAGTCACGAAGGGGTTGCTAATTGGGACTAAAACCAAGGCTGTCTCACCTTTTAGTCACTTTAAAGCCAAATACCTTGATTAAAAGGGACTAAAAGACCTATTCTAGTCTCTTTTAGTTCATCAAACTAAGGGGGTGTTTGGTTACTACAGGGTCTCCTAAAATTTCTGTCAAATCGAATATTTAGACACATATATGCAGTATTAAATATAGATTAATTATGAAATTAATTACACAACTTGCGACTAATTTACGAGACTAATCTTTTAAGACTAATTAGTTCATGATTTGACAACGTGGTGCTACAGTAAACATGTGCTAATGACAGATTAATTAGACTTAAAAAAATCATCTCGCAAATTAGTCTCTATCTATGTAATTGATTTTGTAATTAATCTATATTTAATGTTCTTTATTAGTATCTAAATATTTAATGTGATATGAATTTTAGAAACGACTAAAGAAGCAAACAGCCCCTAAGGGCGTGTTCGGCTGGCTTAAAGCCAGCCGGCTGGCTTGTTTTTCCTCTCACAGAATCACTGTTCACGTCCTGCTCGAACAGTATTTTTCTCTCACAACAATTAGCTAAAACAGTATTTTTCAGTCCTGTCGAACATGGTGTAAACAGGAGTGACTAAATTTTAGCAGAATTAGGTGAGCTTCAATCGTACAGGGCCGACGGAGTAGCAGCAGCGTGGAAGAGGCATAAAATAAAACAGGAAAAGGCTGCTACCAGCACTGGCACGACTGCTTTCCTACGTTGGGATGTTTTTTTTACCGGAAGCAGGGATGAGTGCGTGTGCACGGAGCAAAATGGTCAGAGCCAGTAGGAACCGGAACCTACTCCAGTACTACTAGAGGCTACTAGAGCAGAGCAGTGTAGGGTAGTGCGCTACTGCCTGCCCGGTGGCGTGGCCAGGTGGATAGGATGGGCTGTAAAAACTGATGCACATGCAGGCAGGTGGCAGCCATCCGCCCATCCCTCCCCTTCCCGGTCCCGGTCACGGAGACCCGGACTACCCCGTGCTCCATCCGCGTCTCTCTCCCCTCTCTCTCTCTCTCTCGTGCTCCTGTAGAAGGGAAAAAAAGGGAAGAAAAACACCACCTGTTAAGTTAAAGAGCAGCCACCGTGGCAATGTGGGGACGACGAGGGGCACGGCACGGGCGGAAGAGAGTGAGAGAGAAACAAATGCAGAGCGGTTGCTCGGTTGTCTTCTCTTCTGTTGGAACAGAGGAGAGCTGGGTGGGTGCGAAGGAACGACGCGGTTCCGTTAGCGGTGGGCGTTTGGTGGAACAACCTGTGAAAATTCCCACCCCGTGGTCGTCCATCCCGCGGGCGGCCACGACGACCCACGGGACGACGAGGCGCACGGACGGACGGGCGGGCTCGGCTCGCACGACAGCCACACCACACACACACGCAGACAGACACCCACACGACAGAGCGAGGAGGGGGGGAGAAAAGAAAAGCGAGCGCGGAAAGGAGGCCACGCCCACGCCACGGGGCGGGCGGTAGTACCCGAGCCCGAGCGCAGAACAGCCATTCCCCGTCTCTCTCTCTCACACTCAGTCGCCCAGTTGCCCCTTTTGCGGTTCGGTTGGTTGGCTGGGCTGCGTTTTCCCCATAACGCCCCCGGCGCCCGCCGTGTCCACGTCGTTCGTCTTCGGTCGCTGCTCCAACCGAACCTCCCTCTTCCCCCACAAATATAGTCCTACTAGTCCTAGCAACCACCACCCGCGTCTCCCCCCACCCCGTTCCGTTCCGTTCCGTTCCGCCCCGTGTACTCCTCCCTCCCCTCTCTCTCTCTCCTTCTATCTCCCTTCCCACTCCCCTCCCCCGCGGCCGGCGGCCGGCTGAGCCCTCGCCTGCCGGCCACCACCGCCGGTGGGGCCCACTGCCCTGCGTTCCCATTGCTGGCCTGGCCCTCCCTCCCCACCGCCTTTGTCCGGCGTCGCGCGGGAAACCAACCAACCAACCCCCCAACGAGAGAGAGGAACAAGGAGGCGGCCGCCTCCTCCTCCTCGCGCCTCGGATCCCCGGCCTCCTCTCCCGCGCGTCGGGGGGTACCTCCGGAGGGGAATGTGGGTCCCGTGCCGCCGGGAATTTCTCTAGAGGCTTCTCCGACCCACCGCCCAGCGACGCGACATGGTGAGTCCTCTCTCCCTCCCGTAGATCTGCGCCAATTTCCTCCGCCGCCGGCCGGCTCCTCCACTCGCGCGCTTTTTCTTCTCGTCGCCGCGGCAATTAACCACCACCACCACTAGTAGTCTGGTTACTGTTTGATTCCTCGTCTCCTGTCTTCCTCTGTTTTCGCCTGTTTTTCCGCCAAAAACCAAATCAAATTAAATTCTCTTATATCTAGATTTCACTAGTTAATGAACGGCCCAACCAGTGGATTTCGCCCCCAGCTGCAACAATTCGGCGGGAAACGTTCCTGGGTAGACGTGAATTAGCGTCCGTGAATTGCTGCCCGTACGTGCGCGGTGCCGGCAGCAACTCCTTTTCCTCCCGGTGAATTCCTGCTCCGTCAATGCCGGAAAAGTAGGGAGTCCTTTTTTTTTCATGTTTCATCCATGGAAAACTCGTCAAATCCGGCCTAGGAATTAGGATCACATCAGATTTACACGACCCGGGTGAACCAGTCAACTCGAACCTTCCTAGTTTTTACCCTACCTCTCATTGGCCGCCACCACCTGTCGTAACATGGAATTTTCTTTGGCCTCTCCCCTCTCACATACGGCTATCGGTTTCCGTCTCGTTTTCGTTTTGGGTTGTGCGGGTAGTATATGAGGTTGCAGATACTCCTGCCGAATCACCACTGGTACAAGTCACGTTACGGGGCGTTGCCCGATTCCTGCCGTGTGGACGTGTTTGTGCGCCACCTCCCACCGCCCTTTTTCCACAAATTTCTTCAGCTCCACCATGGTCGTCACGCATGTGCGTAATTGCCCACTTTGACCGCGTCTGCGGTCTGCTTGGAAGATTTCTCTTCTCTTCTCTTCTTCTCTTTTTTTCTTCTTTCGCGGAGGGCCTACACGCCGTTTTTTTATGTGTTCTCATTATGCTCAAATCGCTTGTTCAGTTGTTCTAGTTCTGACAAAAGTTAAGCTAATGACTTAATCATGTTTTATTTGTTACTACTATCATTATTAAGCATCTCGCACTGTTATGGATAATTGGTTGACTATACAAACTAGGGCGCATGGCTGCTAAAAATCATATTGCAAAACTGATTGTGACTATGGCCGTGGTAGGGAAACAACCCCTAGAATATCAATGTGCGGTGTTTGATTTCAGTACCTACAACTTTCTTGACTTTGTTGCCGAGTTGCTCCTCTTTTGGTACCACATGAGACCAATTTGTGGTATCCAAACAACTGGTGCTGATTCAGTCTGCTGTCTCTGTTGGTCAATGTCTACTTGCAATACTGAACTGCAGTAAATGATAGTTTTGTTCTACTCCAAAATTGACGCGTTTACCTATGCTTCAGGTGGAGGGTAGGAGCTATCTCCCTGCAGAGGTCAGGAACGGCCTCGAGACCCTGAAGCGGAGGAGGCTCGAGAGAATGCGTTTGAGTGCTCAGAACGAAGCGGGCGACAATCCTGCGGTGGCTGCAAGAAGCGGTGGTGATGCCTTGTGGAGCCCCGCTAACTGCGGGGTCAGATTGCATTCCAACAACAGTACAGGTTTACCTGGAAATGTCCAGAACAAGGATCCTTTTGCAAAGCGCAAGGTGGAGAAGTTCGATGTGTCCAACCTTGAGTGGATAGACAAGATACCAGAGTGCCCTGTGTATTGTCCCACCAAGGAGGAATTTGAGGATCCCATTGCTTATATACAGAAGATTTCACCTGAGGCTGCTAAATATGGTACAGTTGCCTTTAGCATAATACGTTTTATGATAATAATGTCTCCCACTCATTGATTCAATGGACTAGCTGGACATTTTGAATAACTATGACTGTGTTACTTCTGTTTCAGGTATTTGTAAAATCGTCTCTCCTGTAAGTGCGTCTGTTCCTGCCGGTGTTGTGCTGACGAAGGAACAGCCCAGTTTTAAGTTCATGACTAGAGTTCAGCCCCTTCGTCTTGCTGAATGGGATGAGGATGATACGGTCACTTTCTTCATGAGTGGAAGGTATGCCCACTGTTTGTCTATTTTCATTATTGCTTTAGCTCATGTTCCAAACTTCATGATGATTGGCATGACTGCAGAAAGTACACCTTCCGGGACTATGAGAAAATGGCGAACAAAGTGTTCTCTAAGAAATATTCCAGCTCTAGTTGTCTCCCAGCTAGGTATGTGGAGGAGGAGTTCTGGCGTGAAATTGCTTTTGGCAAAATGGATTTCGTAGAATATGCTTGTGATGTTGATGGGAGTGCCTTCTCTTCTTCTCCTCATGATCAACTTGGGAAAAGCAACTGGAACCTCAAGGTGAACATTCTTTCTTTGATCTTCCATGCATGTGTGGTTGTGTGTTGTATTTGCTACATGGTCCTTATTGATGTTCTTTTGCATGCCTGTAGAATTTTTCACGGCTCCCCAGTTCTATTCTAAGACTTCTTCAGACACCAATTCCAGTAAGTAATATAATTCTATTAGTTCTGTACATTCTTTACCACATCACATGTCATGATTGTTAACAATTCTGGTCTGAAAACAGGGAGTGACAGATCCAATGCTTTATATTGGGATGCTCTTCAGCATGTTTGCATGGCACGTGGAAGACCATTATTTGTACAGGTAAAAATCTTGAGTCTTGTGAGATTGATTAGCTACTTGTCTTTTAAAGGCCGCAGATGCTGATTTTGATCATTTGACCAGCATCAATTACCATCACTGTGGGGCATTTAAGACATGGTATGGGATACCAGGCGATGCGGCTCCTGGGTTTGAAAGGGTTGCTAGCCAGTACGTATATAACAAGGATATTGGTGATGGAGAGGATGCAGCATTTGATGTCCTACTGGGGAAGACAACAATGTTCCCTCCAAATGTCTTGCTAGATCACAATGTTCCTGTCTATAAAGCTGTACAAAGACCTGGAGAGTTTGTTATTACTTTTCCACGTTCTTACCACGCAGGCTTCAGTCATGGTATGCCTCGTGTTTTTCTTTCAGTTTTTGGTTTACTGCATTATGTATCTATATATATCCTAAGAAATTTGTGAATTACCCAGGCTTCAATTGTGGAGAAGCTGTTAATTTTGCTATTGGCGATTGGTTTCCTCTTGGTTCTCTTGCTAGCAAGCGCTACGCACTTCTGAACAGAACTCCATTGCTTGCACATGAGGAGCTACTTTGTCGTTCTGCTGTGCTTCTCTCCCAAAAGCTGTTGAACTGTGATCCAAGATCCTTGGACAAGTTGGAACATCCAAATTCCCAGTATTGTGTGAAATCCTGCTTTGTGCATTTGATACGATCCCAGCGACGTGCACGTGGCCTACTTGCTAAAATGGGTTCTCAAATATGCTATAAGCCAAAGACATTTCCAAATCTGTCCTGTAGCATGTGCCGGCGTGATTGCTATATCACACACGTGTTGTGTGGATGTAACATTGATCCTGTCTGCCTACATCATGGTAATTGTGCTAATGTTGCTGTTCCTGTAGCTTTATTTAATTTTCTTGGCTAATTGTTTCTTTTAATTGGGGGTACAGAACAAGAAGTGCGGAGCTGCCCTTGCAAGTCCAATCGTGTTGTCTATGTTAGAGAGGACATACTGGAGCTAGAGGCTCTATCAAGAAAATTTGAGCAGGATGTCTGCTTGTCTAAGGAAAGAAGTTGCATTGGCTCATGTAAGGAGGCTGAGATCTCTGATACTAATGTTGAACGAGTCCCAAATCTTGGGATTACTCTGGATTTTGGTAATAGTAAAGCTGGTAGCTCAGGCTCTATGACTGTCGATGGGGGAAACAGTTCTGCTGCAGTATCAATTTTGACATCTGCGCATCATAAGGCACCCAAGCATTCAGAAGCAAGGGTGGGTTTACTAACCCTGTATTGAAACATTTTTCTAACTGCTATCCTCAGTTAAATAAATCTTGCTTCTTAGGTCCATGCAACACAAACTAACCAGATTTATTCCACTGCCAAGCAGGCAATAAATACATCAATGACCAAAGGAACTTACACTGTGGATGAGAGTTTATCCGGCATGGATGGTGCTTGTAATGAACACGGTTCATGTAATGCTTCGGCCATGGAATGCAGTGATAATTCCGATTCCGAGTCTGAAATTTTCCGAGTCAAGCGCAGGTCCATCTCGTTTGACAAACCTACTTCTGAAACAAAGACGTCAACCTTGTCTGAACAGCAGGTATGTTATGTTTTGATCATGTATTGGCTGAGAGGAAACCAAATTATTTCAATTTATTTCAGTGGCCACTTTTTTTGACTTTACCATGTAGAGTTGCAGTATTTCAAGGTAGTTTATAGGTTAATTGGGAGAAGTATATGCAATATAAGCATGATGGTGAAGTTGATGTGTCTTACAGTCACAAATGTTTTCAGACATGTCCAGTTTTTAGATAGTATATATAGTCTCTCTGCCACATCTTATATCCTTTAGTTGGGTTTCCAGCTCTAGTTATTCAACACGTAAGTTCTTCAAATCACAAAGTGAGTAACCCAAGATAAGTTTGGAACTTACTTTTCATAATATAAGACTTGCTGTCATCAGGTTCTGAGGCGGCTGAAGAAGGTACATCCTGAAGTACAGCAGGTCAGTAAGCATCCAGAAGAATATGATAATGGTTCAGTTCACTCTGCCCGTATGAGCCAGAAGAGCTCAAATCCTGCCTCTTCTGATGATGAAAGAGAGGACAAGCTTCCCATTTCTTGGAGGATAAAGCGGCGGCAGTTGGAAACCCAGCACAATGTTACAAGTCCTGGTGCGAGACCACAGTCATATCCGGCTTCCAGTGTTGGTTCTCGAGAAGTGTCTGCGGAAAGAACCAGAGATGCTGCAGCAGAGTTCCGTCCAAAACGAGTGAAAATCCGGCTACCTTCTAGTGCCAGCAGGCAGATTGAGCAGCAGGGCAGTTCGGGGCAGAGATTTGCGAGGGAGGACAAGTTGTCGGTTGGTTTTCCACGTACATTTTAGGGAATCACAGGTGCTAACCTCTACTGAGCAGATGAATTCTTTGTTTAGGTGCATTATTAACTACAAAACGAGGTGACTGGAAGAGAGGAGTGGGAGGGATCAGGTGGTGATTGTGGCAAAGCTGATTTGATTAGCACAGGGGCAGCAGACTGACTTTAGAATTGGCAGCAAAGGAAGTGGCTGGCTAATCGATTCTTTTGTGCAGCAGGGCCTCCAATTTGAGGCCTCTGGGGGCACGCTTAGAAGACACACGTGATAATATTCTTGTTGCTGGAGGTTCCGTGTCACTGCCGGTGGCACTTTGATGCCTGGCCATCAGTGACAGAAAATTAAAGAGAACCTCGCTACTTTGCCTACGGCCTTTCCTTTTTTTTTTCTTTTGTAATTTCCTGTAAACAGGCTTAGCTGCTACACTATGGCTAACTCTATTCTTTTGTTGGTTTAGCCTGGCGCTGGTTAACGTTTAATTCAATCGCGATTCATTTCCTTTTCGGATGGTTGGTAAATGGTATATGTTATGGCGGTGTTGCTCTCAACTGTGGGTGGAATGTTCTGTTGGCATGATACTGATTTCTGTCAATAGGAACAACTCGGACTTTACAAAAGAGTGGAATGAAACTATTAATGACAAGTCGGTTTTTAGAAAAGAGTGGAATGAAACTATTAATGGCCTGTTTGAATATAAGAGCTAATTGCTAGCTAATTAAAAATTAGCTCTAGTGCCCTAAATAGGAGGAGCTTTCTAGTGCATCCAAACAGGAGTCTTAGGTGGGCTAATTTTTCTTTGCCAAGTCGTTAACGAGCCATAGCTAATTTAATTTAATTTTTAGACACTACTAGTATGCATTCAAACATACCTAAAACAAAACTCGATAGAAAAAATCTGAAATACGTCATTATTGATCTAACTGTGATACTGTAAACATGAACGGGCTGGGGAGAACTGTGAGGGCGTCCCCAACAAGGCGTTTTGTACTAGCGATTTGGTGCTTAGAATCTTACGTGGAGAGACTGTGCTGAAAAACAAATCGCCAGCGCTTTGGCTCGTCACCAGTCTCGCACAGTTTTTGAAGATTCTAGTGTCTCTGCTGTCTCAGGGCCACTTCACCTGTATTCATTTTCTTTTCGATTCTTTCCGGTGCCACGTCAGGCTGGCGAAGTCGCTAGTGCCACTGCCGACGCCCTGAGTGAATGAGTGATGAGGCACAGGACTAGGACATCGAGGTTTATCCGCCAGTTATAACAGGAGAAGGATGAGGTCAACTGGTCAACGAAACTCACTCGAGTGGACCGGCACGTGTCATCTTCATTCTCTGTTCGCTGGCGTCCCCGGCGCCCACTAGTGACCACTTTCCATCCTCCGCCGTTGTGGTCGGTGGACGGTGGCGCACTGGCGCCGCTCTCACCGTTCCGACCCGCCTGCCAAACCAAGTGACAACAGCCATCGACAGCGATGAGATTGGGTTTGGACTCGAGGATGTCGCGACAGGAAGACAACTAAGCTTTGGGCCTAAATACAAGGCCCAACCCAACACACGCACGCACTTTGGCAGGCAGCAGAGGCAGACGCTGGAGCTCTTCACTTCTTCAGGGTTCCACTCCACTGTCCAATAATGAGGATAGGGCCAGCGGCAGCAGCTAACATGGCTGCTTGCTCCTCCGTTCCCTGCTCCTTCCCCACCAAGCCAGACCCTCACCGCCGGGGCCGCAACACCCTCCCAAGCTCTCATCTCCCTCGGCTCCCTGCTACCCAGTTTCGTCGGTTTCGATCACTCTCGTCCGCCGCCGCGCCGCCGGCGAGTCGCCTCCGCCCACGAGCCTCCGTGTCCGCGTCGGCCGCCCCGTCCAAGGACTACGAGGCAAGTACTAGTAGTTTCTTATCGGGGATTGCTTAGCTACCTGGTGCTCATGCCCGTAAGTACTCTGCCTGCAATCTGACGCACCAGATTATGTCACCTCGCTTACTCTCCGTTGCTCATTTAATTCGTCGTGTACCAACACTAGTGTCTGCAAAAGCTTGAGCACCGCTTTCTTCCCATTACCGTTGTTTACTGGAGTAGTTGACTCTGCATAATATTATGTCCTGTCAACGAGTGTTACAACTAATCCAGCTCTTGATAGAATGGTAATGTAGTAATTCCTACGGGTTCAGCTGTCCACGACCGAAACAAAATTACGCATACTGATTGGGCAATCGTGATTACTAGAAGCGATCAAAAGACAACGGGGAATGCTAGTGCAATCATTATCGTTAGCAGCATGGAAGTTAACCATGCTCTCCTATGGTTGATTACTCCGTGTTTCTGAAACAGGTTCAGGGCAAGCTCCCATCCCATACTGCTTTACTGTTCCTCTCCATGCGCATATAAGTAAGTTTAAGACCACAGGGAAAACAAGTGCCGAATACAATCAAATCAGATAGAAGAATAATGATAATCATATTTGTTGTTTAATTTGCTATGAATAACTTACTACTGTTAATTCATGACAAAAAAAAATCACCTTGTATTGTCTGTATAGTTCACTGATGGAAACGGAGAGGTTGAGCTGAGACTGGACATCCAAAAGCTTGGGATAGAGAGTTCGAGAGATGTTTTTGTTGACGTCAATGATACATCTCTACTGATCAGAGCCAAGTCTGACGGGACACTGAGGACTTTGATGAATGTCCAAACACTGTTTGATAGGATTAAGTCTTCCGAGACCATATGGTATGCATCGATCATCTAGTATCGCACTCTTACTTGCGAGGACGTATTTATTTGCTCACTCTACGTCACAGGTTCATCGATGAGGACCAATTGGTGGTGAATCTGAAGAAAGTAGAGCAAGAGTTGAAATGGCCTGATATAGATGAATCCTGGGAATCCCTTACTTCTGGGATCACCCAGTTATTGACAGGGATCAGTGTCCACATTGTTGGTGATTCCACAGACATTAATGAGGCAGTTGCTAAAGAGATAGCTGAGGGCATTGGGTGAGTGCTGCTTATTCCTTTCTTTCATTCGATTGCTTTCCAGTTAGATACCATGCTGTGCAGATTGCATTCTAGGCTGAATATTTTCAGAACATGCAAAGTATGAATTGGCAAACTTGATGTCGGATAATCTACTCATGAATCTGTCTCCATATTTCATGGCGTTGCAGGTACCTTCCGGTTTGCACAAGTGAGCTGTTAGAGAGCGCCACTCAAAAATCGATTGATACATGTATGATTTTCTGCCTAATGGCATTTTATTGATAACATGATGTGATATCCGGGCTATCATATTTGACTAAAATCCAGCGTCGATCTAGTCATATACGGTCAACATTATTGTCACTGAATAACACGACGCTGCACTTGTAGGGGTGGCTTCCGAAGGAGTGGACTCGGTAGCTGAAGCAGAATCAGTTGTCTTGGAAAGCCTTAGCAGGTTGGTTTTTTTTTTCTTTCACCCGAGCCTGCTTTCTGTAGCCATAGCCCATAGCTGATGATTCTGATATAAGATATGTATCCGTTGCAGCCATGTCCGCACTGTAGTTGCAACTCTGGGGGGCAAGCAAGGAGCAGCCAGCAGATTCGACCGATGGCAGTACCTTCATTCTGGGTTCACGGTTTGGCTATCGGTGTCCAACGCAAGTGGTAAGACTCTCAAGCCATTTCCCCACATTGGTCTGGAGATTTCACCGCATTACCTTACCTTGAGAGGCTGTTCGTGTGTGGTGTTATCCAACAAACAGACGAAGCTGCTGCGAGAGAAGAAGCCCGAAAAAGCGTGAGCAGTGGAAGCGTTTCATACGCGAAGGCGGACGTGGTGGTGAAGCTTGGCGGGTGGGACCCGGAGTACACGCGAGCTGTTGCGCAGGGCTGCCTCGTCGCCCTCAAGCAGCTAACCTTAGCAGACAAGAAGCTGGCAGGTATGTAAGCATTCACCAGATGATCGCTGGGCTGCGAAAGATCAGCAGTTACCTTCCACGAGCATGAGCTTGCCAATAACATCAAGATGCAGGCCCACATTGTGCAGTACTGATGTCATGCTTGTTTTTGTTGTGTTATTTGATGGGGGAACGAACAGGGAAGAAGAGCCTCTACATCAGGCTAGGTTGCAGAGGCGATTGGCCCAACATCGAGCCTCCAGGCTGGGACCCTGAATCCGACGCCGCACCAACCAACATCTGAACCATCCTCTGCCTCCGCGCAGTTGTATTCCAAGAGCAGCTCCAGTGTACTCCTCGAATCGAACCGAGGGAAAGGAACGTTCGATTTAATCGAACCGTGCACAATGATAAAGAATTCTCTGCGTCACCGTTTTAGTTAGCCCGGACGTTCTTGGGTGTAATTTAATAAATATAAGAGAGGGACTTGTAATCTGTTGGCTGATGCATAAAATGAACTCGACGGACTAACTCTTAGCGGCTACCACGGGTGCAGAATACACAAACGACAGGCAGTGAGAGAAACTCAAAAACATAGTATATCATATTATTCTATATATAAATAAGACCAACATTAATTAACAATGCTCAACTCTGCTACCTTAGAAAGGCAAACAGGAAGAGGTAAAAGGAGCCCTTTTCACTGACGAACCATTCCAATGGTTCAAAAAGCACCTCAGCTGCATGCATAGTTTAATTTGAAATGAAAAAACACCAGATACAATTTCCTCACCAACATAGACTCCTACGACACAGAAAGAACAAACAGCAGCCACCATACAAAGACTGACGCAAGAGGCTTCATAGTTGATGCTTCCCACAGGGCTTTATGTCAGCAAGTCGGCTGGTTCCTCCCTTCTGCATTCCTCTCCTCGCCCACCGACCGACACCCACCTCACGGTTTCGCCACCATCTTCGCTGCTGATGCGTCCAGTGCCTCACGCCTCTCCACTGGAGGTAACTGCAGCCAAAAAGACACAAAAACAAAAGGATTTCCTCAGAAAACAGTTGAAAAAAACAGGTTATCAAACCACTGCTGTTCTGATGCTCTTGAAAAGTAGCTTGTTCACAGCAAAAGATAGCCTTCACAAGTTTGGTGCGTGGCGGACTGGCGGTCCATCCCGGAACCCCACCAGCTGACACACCTTACGGCTAAAAGGATTTCAGGCTTTCAGAAAGAATCCAAGAGAACTGTATCAGCAAGGTACAAGTAGAACAATTCACACCTTATCTTGGAGACGCATTATCGTCGATATTAGCACTCTATCACCAACTACATGCCTCAGCTTCTTTACAAGTTCACCTCGGCTTATTTTCTTGATCTGGCAAATAAACAATCATACAGATACAAGTGATTTTGGATACAACAGAAGGGAAGGTGACTTCAGTCAAAGGAGAGAGAAAAAAATGTATCAGACCTTAAACTCTTCATAGCAACTAATAACCATGTCCATATTCTCAGGAGACACTTTAGTAGAGATCGCTGCAAACAACATGGAGAAAGGCATCCAAGGTGAGCTTGGAGCCTTTTCCATCGAATCTCCTAGCATGGGGGCTGCACATCCACCTCCCAATGCTGGAGGTGTCTCCAGGTTCATCTCCTGTTTTATGTATATAAAAGGAAGTTGTTAAGTGGTGCTTTAACCAACTCCAACATGACTAAAATAGCATGGTTTCACAGGGAAACTTATCATATTTGGAGATTTCTATCATAGATAACGAATATAATCAGCTCCAAGTTATAATCTCAATAACGCAATCACAAGTCAATTATTGAGTCAAATCACAAAATCTGAATTACTGCACTCTTGCTGCTCCAACAGTGGAACTCGTCTGTATATCAAGTTAGCAACAGGAGTTGACTCTAGTGTTACAGTACTATCTTGTTAATACCCCATGTAAAGCATCTTACCTCTGAAATACAGTCGGGTGAACTAGAATTCAACACCAGTGACAGATCAGATGAATTCTGACAGTCTTCTTGCGTAACGAAGGAATCTGACACAGAAAATGCTTACCAGTAAGGCAATTTAGGTTGCCACAGATCAAGAAACAAATAGACTAAACTGAAGACATGGTAGCTGCGATTAGTTACCTTTGGTTTTAGAAGGCAATTTGACGATGACTACAAACTCAGAATAGATGTGCCTATTCATATTCATATCCCACACAATGTAATGTTGTGGGTTTTTAAGGTCATCTACTCCACTATCAAAATAGTCACTACTAGGTCGGTGCTGATTAGATCCAGGGTGAACTATTTCTACGTTCCCCATTATAACACGGCACAACATCATATGGACAATGCCATTTTCATCAACATCAGAGTATTTCACACTGCAGAAAGTAATACAAATATTGAATTTGGCAACGGTTAGGGAAAGGAAAATGAACTTGGTGAGGAACAAGAATAATAAAATGAAACAGTAATTAGTTGCTGTCATCGATCTAAAAGCGTCTGAATAGCATGTCAGTAAAAAGAAAGTAATGAACTCAGGAGTGTGCAAACACCTGAGACATAGATGAAAACATAACGGAACTTGGAAAATGTGAACAGCTAAGAAACATAGATGAGATACGAGAGTTAGGTGCCAGCAACGATTTGGAAAGGGGGGGAGGGAAAATCCTGACATAAATGGAACAATTGATATATCAAGAACATACCAGGCATCAGAACGATTTGCTGGTGTAAGGAGGGTGCCCTCTCCATAGGCTGCACACTTAATGGGCGGCTTATGAACTTGTAAAACACCATTCAGCATCATTTCATGCACAGTGCTTTTGGAGCAAGGAAGCCATGCATAACGGACATTTGCATTTCCACGATGACATCCGGTAACCTGTACTTGCTTTTGGTGAATATGGTAACGGACTTGTTTGTGGTCATCCAATAATGGAGTCCTGAAGATTCCAATAATGTCCTTGGATTCAATAACTGAACCCATCCCCTGCAAGAACAGCTTCTCCACGGCTTCAATAGTGCGCTGAGCACGTGATACCTCACCCAGATTAGCTTGGTGTGGTAGTAGGTTACAGACTGTAGGCAACAAAGTGCATGGCTCATTTTCTCCAATAGCTTCTCCCATATCACAGTAATTTTTTATGATGGAATTCTTTTCAGCCCTAGCTCTCTTAGGACTGGAAACATCTTCAGTACTTGAATCAAAGTTTGAGCTTTCTGCAGAACTTTCTGATGTTCCAAGCTGGTCATTCATTTCTCGTGTCCCATTTGGCTCAACACTAATGTACTCAGGATTTCCGTTGCCAAAATCTTTCTTGATAAATAATTTCTGATCTTGCATAAATGATTCCGGGAAGTAGTGCTTTCCATTTTCATCGATCCAAGCAATAGGCCTCTGAAGACCTGTCTTTGTGTCTATGAATGTCATATGGGCAAAATCCAGCAAAAATAGATGGTTCTGATATCCTGTTTCTGTGACCGTCTTTTTTCGCTTCTGAAGTCGGCTTGGGCCAATTTGACAATCTTTTCTGGAATGTCTTTCCAGACAGCACCTTTGCGAAGCAAAATACGCTTAGGTGGTGCACTACTCATGAAGTTCTTATAGCTCTGCAAAACCTGCTTGTTGAAGTGGCACACGATCTTTGCCTTGCGGTCTTGATCAACATGAAACCTAACAGCAGAATCATTGACAGGGTGCTGATGCAATTCAGAGGTGCGGAATACGTCAGTATCATATGCAGCGGGACTCTCCCGCTTTCTCTTGAGACTATTTATGTTCCTTCCACATTTACCCAATGCCTTTCCGTTCATCGCAGCCATTATTGCTAGCAGAAATGAACACGAACCAGAGACTAATTCTTCCAACCAAGCTAAACCCGAACAAGTCTACTATTTACACTAATCTAGTAGAGAAGCTTCTGAAGACGCTCAACCTCATAACGGATGGGCATAAAACGAAAGAGAGTCGGAAAAGAAACGAGAAACGACAGAATGATCCTGCAAAGGGAAAATCGACAGAAATCAGTAAGATATATTGTTGCTGCATTTTAAATATATACAACAGAACAATATTGTATTACAGCAGGACACTTAGAAAAGGATTAACTATGGTATCGATTTTGCCGTGAGAACCTAGAGAAACCAATCTTAATGCTGTCACCAGCTGTCATATTAAGCATGGCCAAACAGACTATAAAAGTGCACATTTCTTTTGTCGTGGCGCAATAATGTCTTTCCATGCAAAATAAGTCAACCAATTGCCAACGATGCCTAGGTTGTGCTGCAAGCATATAGACAGGCAGAGAAGCTTTTACTTCATATTTGGTATTATCAGTCATGACGGTCTGCGGCTGGAGAGGGAACATGATACTTGTACTAACATACAGATAACATGGTTACGAAATAATCTATTGAGTGATGAATTAAAACACCAAATATTCTCTTCCATGCACAAATTAGTAGTTAATCATGAATTTAACTGAACATGGAGCAAGAAAACTTGTACTATCTTTAGACCATATCCCTCGCATATCACATGGCAGTGCAGTAAACGACTCAAGTAAACATCAGAATAAGGTGCATAGGGTAAAATTCAGCAGTGCAGTATGACTCAAGTAAACATCAGAATAAGGTGCATAGGGTAAAATTCAGCGGAATTCTGACAAAATCCACTCACTTTCCCCATGGAAAGTGTTCCACACGTATCACACGCAAGGATTTCAGATACTTTTACAAGTAATCATAATCAAACAGAACTGCAGTCGGAGGAATAAAAAATTGTAATTTTGAAAAGTCAACAATACATATAAGAATCAACTTGGTGATCTCAAATCTGCTTTAGCCCCAACAATACACATCTTCATCATAGCACATATAATTGACATCCAACATATCCAACATGAGAGGACTACAGAAACGAAAAAAAAGTTTCCAAATCGAAAATACATATATACAAGGTGGATCCTCTTCGCCGAGCAATCAGACAGTCAGAAAAAGCAGATCCGCCCATCGACGATGCTTACCTAGGGTTAGTAGTGGGAGCGTTAGCAGGGGCGACGGCGGACGAAGAAGAATTTAATTGCTTCATCTCTCTGTATCCGATCCCTTTTGCTCCCCCTAGGAGTCCCCTACCGACCCCACTTTATCCCCGGGCGATGGCCGGAGGTGGGGGTTCTCGCCAGAGCTTCTTCTTCTGCTTCTGCTGCTTCCCTCGCCGGCGATATTGGATTGGTTAGAGGTGGGAGCAGCACAGATCGACCGACGACGGCGGCGGCGCAGGGCGAAGGTGGGAGGAAGGGTATGCGGCGGTAGAAGAATAATTGGACACGGAACGGAAGAGATGAGGGCGAGGTCCACGCACGCGCCACGGCTTTGGCGTGACCCCACTTGGGTTATTATTATTCCGGTCTATCCTCACCCACCGCCCTACGTCCTGAATCGCTCACCGACGCATGGGTCCGGACCCACCTGGGCGCGGGTACGCGTGGCGCTAAACTTGGATGTCAAGCTGCCCTGCCCTTTCCTTGCGCCGTAAGCAAAACGCCAGACGCCGTGATGCCGACGTGCCTGCGCCCATGTTTAGTTCCCGACCCAAAATTCCAAAAAGTGCTACAGTACCTATCACGTCGAATCTTACGATACGTATATGGAGCATTAAATATAGGCGAAAAAAAACTAATTGCACAGTTTGGTTGGAAATTACGAGACGAACGTTTTAAACCTAATTAGTCCATGATTAAACACTAATTATCAAATAAAAACAAAAGTGCTACAGTAGCCAAATTCTAACTTTCACCCAACTAAACACGGCTGCATCGGACGGTTCACACATCCGGTCAACGGTCTCTGTCCCCACACCAGCCGCATCACGACCGTCCAGACATTGCAGATTTTTAATTTTGTTAAATTATTATAAATTCTACTAGTTTGCCCGCGTTACTCGGGCAAAGGCGACGTGATGACGTCGGATTCTGATTTTTTTTCTTCCAACGTTCAGATTTGCCTTGGCAGCGTATCGGTGGTTTCAGTTTTTTTAATAAAGTCTATATAATTCATGGTACAATACAATTTGCTGGCTGGTGTGCCCGTATGTATAATTTTGGTGAATTGCACTTGCACGTCGTGTTTCACGAATCTACGGAGAAACCTGGCTCACGTATATACTTGCCTTTTTCTACGCGTGGTTTCCTACTCCATGGCTAGGCACTACACCGCACTATGAGAAAACCAAACATCATTTCCATCAGCATCGTGTTGCAATTTCATTCTAAAGCGACACCTAGTAAACTTTCATAAGTGCTAGCTTATCTTAGCTCCTAAATTTAGTAGCTTTTAGTTTTTTTTAGTAATTTTTTTGCCAAACACTACGATTAAATGTGACTAAAAAGGTTTTAGTCCTCTCTAATAACTCTAGAGTTACTAAAATTGACTAAACCATTTAGTAACTCCTAAAGTTTAGTAGCCCAAACTAAACACCCCTTATACTAGCTACAAATACTTGCGCGGCGAATAACCTTCCTCTGAGTCAGTACGACTGAGGTATTGGGTAGTACTTTACCTAACTATCGTTGATACGGCGGGATTGCTTGAAGTCTTCAAGTCTTGTTGAAAAAAATGGAGATACGAAGATAGAACGTTCGGATTAATTCCAAAAGTGACACAAGTGTCATGTCTATCCAATACTAGTAGCGATACTATAGTTATACATCTTCAAACAAGACATACAAACTAAAATAGGCGTTGTCACCTAATATTAAGACTAGCCTCGGTGATATCTCATATCCTAGTTTTCAAGATTCCTTCATGATCTAATTGCTCGAGAGCCTGTCAGCGTCATGGCACGCTGAAAAGTCCTAATGGTTAGAGGGGGTGAATAGCCTAATAAATATTTCTACAAATTACTCGAGCAAGTGTTAGTAATTAATTCGAAGCTTTTTGCACTAACTTTAGTCAAGGGTTGCAAGCCTTCTATCCAATCAATTCTAGTTGATTACAATCTCTAAGCACACAATGTCTAAGTCTCTACTCCATTAAGCTAGTGAGCTAGCCAACACTAATTACTTCTATCAAGAACTAGCTAGCGAACTAATCCTACACTACACAAGAGAAAGCTATACTAGCTACCACAACTACCACTACACAAGTAGAAATGAATTTAAATACAAGAGTGATAGAGATGATATACCAAACGTGGCAAGAGACAATATGATCACCAAGTGAAAACCAAAGAGGCAATTGACACACAATTTATCCCGAGATTCACTTGCTTGCCAACAAGCTACGTCCTCGTTGTGACAGCCGATTCACTTGGTAGTTCGCGAGCTAATTGGCACCACGCCAAGCCCTTCACTAGGGCGCCGTAAGAACCTACACAAGATGGGGGCGCTCAATGTCACGAGCAATCCACTAGAGGTGCTTTTGACGCTCCACCGGTGAATAAGCCCAAGAACCCCTCACAAATCCATCAGGAGATGGCCACGAACAATCACCAACTCGTGCCAACCTCCTCAAGTTGCTCCAAGCTGTCTAGGTGGCGGTAATCACCAAGAGTAATAAGAAAACCACAGGCACAATGATCCCCAAGTGCTACTAGATGCAATCACTCAAGCAAATGCACTAGGAATCACTCCCAATCTCACTATGATGATGAATCAATGAAAGAGATGAGTGGGAGGTGTTTGCTTTAACTCACAAGGGTGTATCACTGATGAAAATGTGCAAAAAATGAGCTAGAGCCGGCCACTATCTATTTATAGAGCCCCCAAAATAATATAACCGTTAGGGTCACGCAGGGGCGACCGGACCCGCCTGCAATGTCCGGACCGGACGCACCCAGCAGGGTTCGGTCCATGAATTTGTGCCACGTGGCCTCAATTTTCAACCTCGACCGCAGATCTACAACGGTCACTTAAACAGTCTCGATCGTCACCTCCGGACCGGACTCACAGTCCCTTGGTCCGGTCTCAAACGTTGTCAAAGTCTGGTCACAAGCAGTGAAGAAACAGAGAACTCTAGGATGACCGGACCCACCGAAGCAAGAGTTCGGTCAACGCCAAAACTACACCGAGAGGTTCTAGACCAATCGGATCGCATCCAATACTCCATTGTAGCACCCGGTTTTAAGGACAAAACCAGATACACACCATATGTGAGCCCAGAAAGTCAAATCTCACATATAGCTACAAATAAAGGTAATATCAATAGACAATGCTTAATATATAACATACTTAGTATAAAGGATATAACCTTAGACAACAAACAGCGGAAAGACAACTCTGATCTTCGGGTGAAGACTCCAATTCCACAGGGACAACTAACTGGTTGTGTCGGTGCAGAAAATGACCAACACGTAAATACTTGTAGTTTTGTCGTACGTTGTGATCGGATGTGGCCTAGCACTCAATGACACATGGTTTATACTGATTCAAGCAACATACCCTACGTCCAGTTTGAGTCGGTCGGTGACTTTATTCCTGAGCCCAGGTGCTCGAAGTTTGCTGTGGGGTTACAAACGGAAGAGAGAAAGATGGGGGGTACAAGAGCTCCGGTCGGACTCTGGTCTGAAGGGCCGAGAGTGACAGGAGCTCCGCTATGTGCTAAGTGTTCGAACGTTTGTTGTTCATTGGGATCCTTGGTCGTTCGGATCGTGTGTGTTGTTCGAGTTGTTGTGGACTGATTCTCCCCTTTGGGAGAGAGCACATCCCCTTTTATAGATTTAGGGGATGGCCTTACAAGTGAGAGAGAGAGAGAGAGAGTGTGTGTACGTATGCTAAGTCTTGTTGCCCACGCCGTCAGGTACAAGATGATTGTATGTCAGATGC